CTGCTCCTCTAATGAGAGCTTGAAATGTGAAGTGTATGCTACTTCAAATCAGTGCATCTGATGGGACAGGTATTTCGAGTGAAAACAGCGCGTGCAACCAATCGGTAAACCGGTACGTAGCAGAATACTCTTTCTAGGCAATGAATCCCGTGGATTCGAACCTCACGTGCACTCGGTGCTATCATCGCACTCACATAGGTCGGACTGATGAGAGCGGAACTGATGAGTACGTGTGAGAACGGAGGACCCCTGTATGTGAGTGGAACATCTGACTGCTTGGGCGGTCAAATGTGAACATGCAGCTCATTTTCTGTCTACAAATCCAATACAGATCCGTAACACATGTGAGGAATCATGAGATTTGTCCAAGTTTATACAATATATATCTAAAATATACCAGCAGCGCTACAAGCAAACGCAGGGTCATATTTGTACACACACACGTAAAATGCTTGACAAGGTCCAGAAACAAACGCAACCGACAGGAAAGGGAAATGCGCGATAATTAGGAACCACATGGTACACGAAAGCGAAACTGAAACGGCGAGTGCAAAAAACTCGCCTCTCGTCCCGTCCGCCCCAACACACAGCAACGAGGACGTGCACATCAAATTGTGAGCCATAGAGCAAGCAGCTCGACAGACAAAATAGTGTGGGAGCACAGGGGAGAGGAAAGCGTGAAGACCATTGAGTACAATAAATTGCGCAAAGCGAAGCAAATATGAACTTACCTAGACTATCCTCTGTGATTGGTTCGTGTCAGAATAAAAGATACGAGTGGAATGAGATAGACACATCAAAACGGTCAGTTGTAATTGTGATATTATAAACGAATCCCAGTGGAAAAGTTCCGTTCGTTCCACAGAAAGTGAGCGTCACACATCCCAAATGGCAAAAACTATCCCAGGTGCAACAAAGCTCACAAGTGAGCTTTTCGATTCTAGGCCAATAAAGAACAATCTTTCAAATTGTGAGATCGTTCTCACAGATAACAGGGCATTAAAAGAGTCAGGGGTTACTTGACGGGTGGACAGTCGTAATTCGACTCACAAACCATATCCGAATGACGATGGTAAAGCCCCATTTCATCATCATAGCTAATCGTTCACTCAAACACCGAACTATTCCGGATTGTTGGTGTCTGGTGAGAATTACACCCGTTCTCAAAGGAACGACAAAGGCCCCAATTGTGAAACGTTTCAGGATGATTTCTCTCACTTCCACTAATTTGAAATTGTTGTGGCGGTCAGTTTTGCATTGTCTTCAGTTATCTCTCACCATCCCAATGACATTTATCAATTTTTATATAAACATAACCACTCAATACTGGATGCCATGTCTTCTCTAGTTCACTGCATCTGCAAATCCCCAAACAAGAAAGCATTTCCTGATTACTCTTCCACTTTAGACGCGGTGCCCCGTTCTCTTTTACTTGACAAGCTCCAATAATTTGGTTGTCTCATTTCTCTTCTCGAATGACTTGGTGATTACTTTTCGCAAATATATCAGTATGGTGAATCGGGAAGAAGACAGTCAACTGCATCACTCAATAGTTCGGGTGTACTGTAAGGTGCTGTCTTATTACCATGTCTTGTTGCGACTTATATCAGTAACCTACCTATTACTTCCCCTGTATGACATTTTAAGTATGCTGATGATATCGCCATTTCTGTTTCCGTATCTAATCGGTGAGAACTGACTGCATACAAAACAAACTAATCTCGAACCCGTTTCGTATTTCACTTCATCCGGTCTTAATCTTAGTCCCAAAAAATTACTTGAATGTATTTTTACTCTCAACCGTACCCCATCTCCCTCTGACAATGTACAGATTCAGAGGAAAGCCGGGGAGGAAGGTCAGTCATGTAGAGTACTTAGGTGTCACACTTGAAAGTAACCTTCGCTGGTCTTTACATGCCCAAACTGTTGCTCGCCAGCTGAAAGTTCTCTCCTTCCAGATAAGAAGACTAGGCCACTTCTGTTCTGATTTGTCAGTAACAGTCACTTTTATTCAACAATGTGTTCTCCCTGTACCCGTTTACTGCTCCCCTTTAATTCTTCCCTGGTTTGCTGAAGGCCGATTACAAGCTGCTGAGGCGTGGCCTCTCAATAATCAGCAGCGTTTCCCAACGTCCGTTGTCTATTTTGATTGAAAATATGTGTAACGCTCATATTGATGCGTGCTGGAAGTTCGTTGACCATATTCTATCTGATTGCACCCATTCTTCACCCATTGACATGTATGCATGAAAATCCCACCGTATTGTACTAACTGAGATGCAGCGAAATCTGCCTTGGCATGATTCGTGCAATCTAGCTTTCTGGTGCTCTTTCTCTTCAAGTTTATCTCAGGAAATAAATGTTTCCCAATACGTATTTGATGTATTTTTGAATGCAGAATACTATTTATCTTACAAGTACTAAGTCTGGTTGCACACACACACACACGCTGAGGGACAGAAAGGGGGGGTCAAGTGTGGCGAGTTGTTATTGATTGGGGAAAACTGTACGGAATGGTAGCGGTCGACCACTCCAAGTCCCGGGGTTTAGGTTGCTGGTCATAGAACAGCAGGTCCTCGTGACTAGGGGGTATATCTCGTCTGCCGTTCATCACGAACTGGTGTGTAATAGAAAAAAAAGTGTTCTTATTATGATTACTATTCGCGCAACACAAAAATCATTCCGTCTGGCAAAGTAGACAGTTGGTCTATATTGATGAACCAGTTCCTCACTTTTATCGCTTTCTATTCCTGTTTCACTGAGACATCACAATGCGAATTCACTGACTACAATACCTGACGGAAATAGATCAATCGATTCGAAAATTAAGCAGTCTGTTGGTACGAAACAAAATTTCATTAACAATATTATCATTACTAGTATTCCGGACCACAGGATGCGATATGCATCTGAATATCAACCTTGAATTGTTCTTGAAATAGGAAAACCCAGTCGAGGTATAACGTTTTCTGCACATTGTACTATCGTGATTTGCCCCACACTACTACTCACAGTTACTTGTGAGTAGATGAGCCAGGTTGGAACCTCGCAACAAGCAAATAAATGCATTGGCGCTGTGCGGAATGATCTGGTCGGTTGCGTGTAGGCGTGTAACGTTCGATTTGAGGTCATGATAGTTTCCGAACTCCGCTCACAGACGGACAGATATGCCCAACCGGTGACGATATTCGTCGTCACGAGTGAGGCAAGTGTACAATGATTCTTAACTGTGAAACCTTTTGTCTTTAAATGGACGATTGTGCAACACGGATAACCCGGGAAACCAACATATTGCAGCTAATATAGAGAACATGGACGACTCTGAACTGTTGATGGTTCGAGTACCAATTGGGGTAGTAGACAGACGGAGTACGTAACAAATAAAGCAATTCTGATTGGAGAGCGCTGAGAGCAGCCAGAACCAAACTCATCCAATGCATCAGATAGTCAAGACTGTTTCACGTGGATCAAAATCCTCTGTGTGTGTACATTGAACGGGGTCACATAAATATGGTGACGAACAAACATTAAAACTTCGATGCACGACCAGATCCCCCCAGAGATAAACCAAAATGCAGACACTCTTGTCATGATCATTATCATCATCACCACCAGCCGAATCATTGCTATCTGGACCATCTTCAGTCTATAAACTTACCCCCCCCCAGCGAAATGCGCGATAGCATCTAAAACGGAAGTGCTTACCTACACATGCACATACATAATTCTATGCGCACAAATGTCTATGCAGTATAAGGAACTATTATTACACTTTTATAGCCATGGACAAACAGAGCTCTTGCGAACCGATTTCTGATTCTGTATCTGCCACCCCGGATCCCCTTCACTCCACACTTGTGCACGTATGCTACCCAAACGGTAACTATAAAACGTTGATTGGAACCACCATATATATGTGAGTGCGCAATCATACATACATCTGATGTGCAAAGACAATTCCACGGTGTGATACAATTTGCCGTCTAAAATTTGTGGTTCCGCTAGAATCAAACTACCGCACAAACGAAACACGATGTGCACTCATTAAAACAATTCAAAAAATTTGAAGCGAACGTTTTCCGGAGAAGAGCCCTCTGATTAAGTACATCAACTAGTACCTGATGACTCATGGCAGGGTTGATTCCTTCTGTCTGTCTGCCTGTTTACTTGCAGTTGTTCGTCCACAACTCAGAGATGACGTAATGTGAAATAAAATTCAATGCAAAAATTCTGACAAAACGATGAGCGGACTGAACATGTCACGTGAAACGTGAACCGTCTCGCGCACCGAATGCAGGACTGCATTGGACCGCACGAGGCAAACGCGCTCTGTTGACTGTAGACAAGTTAAACAACATGAAACAAAATGAATTGGAGATAGTTGGGGACTGGAAGAGAGGGGGGCGGGAGAGGTTGGAGGGGCAAAGACGGACACGAAACAGGATTGTTGATCTGGACTGGTGTGCGTGATGAGGAAGGGGAGTAGGGAAGAATAACATATCCTATTCACGTAGAGAATCTGTCTCGTGGTGAAATATGTAAGGATAATTCTATTCGACAGATTTTCACTGCTCTCATTTTGCACCGAACTGAGAGTGCGTTGGATGCTTTCTTGTTTTGCATCACATCGTACACTGGTCCAAATGAATTAGCAAACAGACAGACAAAGGAGGAGGTAAAATATGTCCATGGCCAAGTATCAAGAATACCACATTGAATGTGAGTAGCGTTTTGACCGGTCCAGCACTCGATCCGGAAGCTCATACCAATCCGGAGAACGTGAATATTCCTCGGAATCAAAATCACCTCATACGTTGCATCACCCATAGAGAATGCAAGAACTATTTCGGAATGACCCTAGCTACTATCTGTGAGACTAACGACACGAACAAGTGATCTGAGTGGGTGAATCAACCAATTGATCGATCGGGTGCATGTGAAACAAGGTGTATCAATCGCACATTTTTTGCTATTTGTCAAATGGACAAGGAAGCACTCACTTCGTTCTTGTTGTTTGATCTTTTTCTTACTGATATAACCTTCGTCCGGCTCGGGTTCCGTGGCGCTAGGTGTGACAGTCCCGGTCGGTGGTGCTCGATCCCCTAATTCCGGTTGTTCTGGGATCGGAGACAGAAGCATTTTCTGGGCCCGGTCGAAATGAACGTGGGAGAAAATTGAAGAGATGAGAAAAAATGGCATTAGGATAGGCCGGCGCAAAACAGCATGATGTAATATATTGCACAAATAAACTAACTGCCCACACGTCGGTGAAATACCGTGCGACTACCGGTGCTCGATAGTGTGTTGCAAAACCATTCGTTCAGAGCGCAAGGGTTTATTGCTGATTTCATGTGAATGATGACTTCCATTGTACGAAGAGAGTGAACGAAACAAGAGTCAAAAATCGAGGCAACTATGCCAAGCCGTTTCGATCTTGCTGAATCTTATTAGTACCGTGTATAGGTATAATCACAACTGAGGATAGAGACCGGGTGTAACAAAAGTAACTATCCATTTGACCACTAAGCAAACGATAAATGGCATACGGCAACACACTTTTACAAGCCTTTTGTGATTATCTAACATCGTTTATGTTAATTATAATTTATAATTAGATGTCCCTATCCCTGTTTACATTAGACTACTTATGACATACAAACTTCAAATCTGCCAAACAACTATTTGAACAATTAACCTTGTCTTAGAAGCTCATTCGCCTCCGGTGAATTCTAAGGAAAACCTGTCGGGGTAGTCAGCTTACATGCTAGCTGGTGGATGCCACATTCCTCTGTAAGTTGGATGGGTAACTTCGAATGTGAAAAGATCAGTGCTATCGGTGTGGCCTCGTAGCTCAGCTGGTGGAGCATGCGCGTACAAAGCGTAGGCGGCGTCCATGTGTGAGTTCGAATCACACCGAGGCTACTGAACTTTTCACAAATGACAAAAATACTTATGAGTAGTATTCAGTGTTTATTTTCCCAACAGTTAAACTTTCGTTTTTGTGCATCCAAGAGGAATCTAAAGTCATAAAATTTATGGAGTCCGATAGCGTATTTGATGGACCTAATGCCGTGACTAAGATATGTGTATTCGTAGTATTGCTTTTTCCCATTGACATAAAAAATTGGGAACGCTTGTTCTGCGAGAAAAAGACCGCCACCACTAGGGCTCGAAACACAGACCACCGATCTTTCGTCAAACACCATACCGCTCAGCTACACACACTCGGCCCGAGCTTGTTTATACCTTTTCTCACTACAACTGTCGCCCTTTGGTATCGCGTCCCGATTTGCTGGCATTTATTACACTTCATTTTAATCCATTTTACTTACCTTCTCCGTCGTTTCATTTCGGAACTAAAATGTACTTTGAGCCTTTTCCATACCGTTGTGCAACCTGTCTCGATTTGAATTTCACTGTTGTTTTCAGTTGTAATAACCACAATAACGATGGTCAACCAAGTTCGAATTATTCTCATCATCGTGCAACGAAGCAAACTTTGTTGATCGTTACCAGGCTCACAATGCGTGTAGAAGGTTCATATATGACAACACGAATTTCATTGGGGTCGGTTGGTTATCTTATCCGACAGTATCCCCGACCAACTAGTCAGAGTCTTTTGGACCACAAACTGGAGGAGACATGTACTTCACCTAATCACCCTGTAGATCTCTTCAGGCATTCGAGTGGTACATGTCACTATCACATCACAATAACATCATCAATAGGACCACTACCACCACTACAGCTTAGTTTTGCCCACCTCCTCATGCCTTACAATCACTCTTTTCACTGATCACAACCTCTTTATTCTGTAAAATACCTTAATGATTATCTATTCAGTTAAAACAACCGGAACATTTGCACCAAAATATAACTGGTCAAATTTCAACCCCGATGGTTAGTGTTGCATCTTCTTCACAGGTTTCGAAAATCACTCAACTGATTATCACGATACAATATGCAGTACATGTTCGTGCAGTTTTACCCTCGGGTACGTACGACTTATCGGAGACTTTCACACTGGTTTACTCTGAATCGGATCGAACAAGACTAAGCGTTCAGCGGGTGAATAAGCAAATCACTACTCGAATCTTTAAACATTCACACACACACACACACACACACACACACACCAAATTAGAACAGAACAGAACAGGGGAAAGGTGGGGAGCGAAATGTAAAAAGAACGATGAGAACCGAAAAGCGTTCACGGAGACAGCCACAGCCACACAAAGGGTCGCGCAGTCGAGACCAGCATCACACGTCGGCACGCGTCCAGCAGTGAGAGACAGCCAGCGAGGCCTAATCGGAGTTTTCCGCGTGAATAAAAAATGGGCCGAGAGGAAGTAGCGTGCGAGGATTGCGAGCTTATCAAACGTGGACTATCTAAGAACACCGCGTGAAAGAGTAATGTTGCAACACCAGTGTGACTTGTGCCTCGATAGGTCATCCGCAACCTATGTATCTGAGTAAATTTTGCCGAATAAACAGCGAACCGATGCTCTTTTAGTCAACCAATCAATTAATGGCAACAAAGGAGGAAACTTTATTCTCTATTAACATCGATCGAAAGCTTTAACCCGATCAAGTCATCTGCGTATTTTTTTTTATTAACTAAGGCCACATGACTCGGCTTACTATCTATCACGGAAGAGGATAGCCCCTCGTCCCGCCCCGAAAAAAAAATAATTGAACTCCTCATTCTGTTCAGCGCCAGTGTGAGTTGATCGGCACGACGGTAACACACGCCAACTATACGAGAGATCTCGGATTCTAGCTGAAGGCGGTGGGTTGGTATGCGCTACTGATGACATCCACCGTGTACTTTTCCCGAGTGTATGCATACTTAACCGAACTGACTGAGGATGGATGGTAGACGAAGATTTGAAGTTTGTTTAACCAAAATCAATGACACTGAACCGAAATTATTAATTGTCAATAAACTTCAGATGAACTTTAGCTGAAGTAATTTTTCAGTCCGTGTAAACATTTGCGGTTTCGTTAAATCTGGAACAGTGGTTTGGCTAACAAATGAATACAACCTGTTTGGAGAACAACGAACATATCCATCCATTCATACACATGCACGCATACATCAAGGCATCCATGCAGTAGGCCGCGAACAAAGACGTCAAAAAGGGAGAGTAAGCGTAAAACCCACACCGTTTCACATCACCACGCGCATTCTCGAACTCCAGGTCAACCGCCGGACCTTATGTGCATCCGAATTAGTTGAACAACGGCAGATTTCTAATCCTTTTGTCATACCCTGAAATAACACACACAGGTAACCTTTTTCAAGCCCCCTCCCTTGCATTTTTTGGAGGTACAGTGCTTCGTTGAAGACTATTCAGACTATTCAGGAGCGCAAAAACCGAACGCAACTAACGAGATGCTTGACGCCCACGGTGCAACCACAATTACCTAGACAACCTAAGTTTAACTAATTCTGTAGAGGTTAATCAGTTCTCCAACAATATGCGGAGTCATAGAAATAACAACAGTTATTTTACAGATCTTTACTTTCAATCGACCAACGGGATCGCATTAGTTCTATCATAGTGGAACACGATCGGTGTTGAACAGAGAGGTGAATATCACATTGGTG